GGAGTGGACAGTAGAAGGGGGGACGGGTGCAGGGAGGGTGCTAGCTTAGAAGATGCTCTCTGAAGAGCAGGGTCTTCAGGAGTTTCTTGAGAATCGACATGAAGCCCCTGTTCTAGTAGAGCTTGGTAGGTCATTCCACATGAAAAGAGTCTGGAGTGTCATGAGCGTGGTGTAGGCGCTGCTAGCCGGCGATGACCGCAGTGGCCGAGCCGTGACGTGAGCCTTTAGGAGGATTCAGGTAGATTGTAATCATGGAAGGGCTCCGATTGTAGTCTCAATGATGTCATCTCAAAGTTTAGTTCATTTCTGATGGTAGCAGTGCGATGTTCGTTGTCTTTATTGTCACACTGAATTTCTTTTACTGCATTAGAAATACAAGATGTGACTTTAGAATGACGACTTGTGAACTTGATTATCTTTTAGGATGCTGAATCCCAGAGAGCTACGGTCAGACAACCAGCACATAAAAGGTATGTCCTCGTTGTTTACGTGTTTTCTAGTCGGCAAACAGAAACACTCACTCAATGGATCTCTGGCAGACAGACGGGTTGGTGTGTTTTACATAATTAAGGTTGGAAAAGTGCACTTTTAACCAGCGTTTATCTTTAAGGAGCTAGATTTGACATCACCTGAATCTAATCCCTTCATCATTAGTGGAAGAAACGAATCCAGCTGAAAGAATAAATGGATTTCAGACGCCTTGTCTTCTTTGTAACGTGTGTGCAGAAGCCTGGAGGAAGCACCCCCCCACCGGCCTCTCCTCTACCGGCTTTTCCGCGCTGCCTTCCCGCTCCAGCTGCTCTTCCTGCTGCTGCTGGTTCTGATCTGCCTGGCGCCGCTGTCCGATGGCGATCACAGCTGCACGCTGTCCAACAACTTTGCTCGCTCCTTCTACCCGATGCTGAGCTACACCAACGGCCCTCCGCCCACGTGAACGGCTCCTCCTGGGCGTTCTTCACTCCACATATCCCTGTACATGAAGATGTTTATTTATTATTGTAAAGAAGAAGCCGTGAAATGGGTTCGTTTCTGGAAAGATGCAATAAATACCACAGAAGTGAAGATTTAGTTTTATATCCATATTTTTTAAACCCACAATAAACGATAAAAAAGTTTTTACCAAAGCACGGAGAATGCTAACACTGCCGCTGGTCTTCACAGAAAGCTGTGACCTCTTCATGGATCCTTTTCTACACGAATTAAGACTTGTTGTTGTTGTTGTTGTTGTTGTCATATTTAGACTGTTCTCTGATGTAAAGATATAAAATGTATTTGTTTATTGTTATTTATTTGCAGTGACAAGACTTTTTATATTACAATGTTAATTCTGCAAAATGGTTTAAGTAATTCATTTTGGAAACAGACACAGTTCCAAATGCCAGATTCTTAGCCTGGCAAGCCAGACTAAATAAATGTGTTATTTAGTCTGGCCACGCTCCATTGACGGCTCTGGGTTGTGGGGCGGGTTCTACCGTTGTCTTTCAAATGACCTCCGCATGCTACTGGACAGTGAATGTGACAGCTATCGGTAAATGAGGCGGTCCACAGTTGAAGAAGGAGAAAACATCATTTTTTTCTAAAAAAAAAAGCTCTTAAACACATCCACCTGCTCCTGATTCTAATGAAGCCCAAGTTCTAATCGTCCAACACGGATGTAAAAGCCATTTCAAACAAGCTGTCGCCATCTTGTTTCACTCTGTTGCATCATCCCACCCACCAGGCATATAGAGTGCCCTGATTGGCCCACAAAGCGGATAAAGCTCTGTGATTTGTTCACTAAGCAGATAGAGCACTATGATTGGCCCACCATTATGGACCAATCATAGCTCTTTATGTGTTTGAAACCCCTCTAGAGAGCTGTGATTGGCCAGCCAGAGTCCTGGTAGGGGCTGCGGAGGTTCCAGTGGAGCGTTAGAACAAACTTTGCAAAGCAAGAATTTGGTCTAGTTCACTAGGCTACCAGTTTCTGGTTTATTCCTGCAAATCTCAGATTATTACTTCACCACGTTACTATAATAAAGCATTGCTGTGAAGAATAATGGAAACAAGATGCAGATTTTTTTTATTTACAAGCTAAATTATCTTTATATATCTGACTGACACCAAGATTTCATTCTTCAACAACTTTATCGAATTCTGCTCCCTAGTTGTTGTGACCCCGTTGGTGATGCTGACGTCATCCTAGTATTTAATATCTGGTTTCATCAGAACTGCACAATAAATAAGCTAAGATCTGCAGATAAATCTAAACTTAACCTGGCTGGATTTTTGTTTTCTTCTAAGTCAGTTTCGCTTGGAAATGTGCGACCGTTAATATATATTTATGTTTATAGACCGTTTGTTTATGCTGTATAACTGTTTGGGCCATGGTGACGTCTCAGGTCTGTCAGAGAGGTCTTGATGATCATACTGGTCACTTTCTGGTGAATTATTAGAAATAATCAGGATTTGTAGCTCAGAACCAATCACGCTGCAGCTGAGTTGTTTACATCCTGGCTTTTACTTCCTTATGTTATTGTGGACGGGATTGTTATTTCATTCACGTGGAATCATTCAACATCGAGTTAAAAGGGGACGTTTATTAAGGTTTTACTGAGAAATGACCTTTTAGAAATTGGTCAATACTGAAACAGCTGAAAACATGTTTCTAGCGTGTCGAACACAACAATAAATGATTTAGTTCAACTTTAAACACATGTGGCTACACACCTGTGTAGTTTCAGGGTTTACTTGAACTTTCAACACTTCATGTATTGAATGTAAATGTGTGAATTTCAGGGGTCTGCAACCTTTAGAAATAAAAGACATTTACTACCTCCCCTACTGAGTATATTTGATATAGAGCTACAAAATCGACTTTAACCTAAAGTTTACTTTAGGTTCCAGTGTATTTGTAAAAGGCAGGCATCTAAAGAATAGCGTATTTTGTTACTAGATCAGTACCATTCTTCATGAGATCGGGGGGTTTGGGTGGGGGTGGGGGTGTAAACAGGGCTCTGTGACAGCGAGTGGAGGTCTCCCCCCTTGGAGTGTCCATTGATGGCTTTCGGGGAGCCCATCACCATTTTAGGGGAGCCAGGCTCCACTTAGCTCCCTTGTAATTCAAACCTTGTTTGGCCCTACTGATTGGCTTTGACGCCTGCATCAGGCAAGAAGAGGATGCGTTTTTGAAGCCCAACTTCAAGACTTGCTTCATTTTGCAGAAAATCCTGAACGGACGGGACACCTCGGTGTCCGTCTCTGCTCTGAAAAAACAACACAAACAGCAGGACGTGTGTAAAGTTTGTTTTATTTGGTGATCCACGTGTAAAGATGGTGTGTTTTTGCCTGATAATAAACTGTTGATTGTTTTCTGTGTCACTGGGTTTGCATTTAGCTCGTCTGCGGCCCGACGAGTTCTGTAGGATCCTAATTCTGAGCCTCTTCAGCATCTGTTAGTGTGTTCATGCATGTGCAAGCCACAGACAGGATAGCTGACACATTAGCAGTGGTTAGATCATCTGGCACTAAGGCTGAACTTACACAAAGTGGCATCCAAAACAGACGCACGTTGGGTGAGGAGGCCAAAACCTTAGCACATTTGTTCCTTTCTGTGAGATGAAAATCAATCAAAGCTTTATTTATAAAGTGCCATCCATGACCCTGTCGGGAAGCCCAAGGCGCTGACCCGTGAAAAGAGAACCATTTGGAGGCAGAGTGGAGCAAATCACTGGCAGCCTAAGCAGAGACACCCAGACTTCCCTCTCCCCGGCCACTTGGGCCAGCTCCTCCGGGGGGAATCCCAAAGTGTTCCCTGGCCAGCTGAGAGACATAGTCCCTCCAGCGTGTCCTGGATCTTCCTTTGGCTCCCCTCCCGGCTGGATGTGCCCAGAAAATCTCACCAGGGAGGCAACCTGGAGACATCCTTACCTGAGCCACCTCGACTGGCTCCTCTCGATGTAGAGGTGCAGCGGGTCTACTCCGAGCCCCTCCCGGGTGACCAAGCTTCTCACCCTATCTCTAAGGGAGAGCCCAGACACCCTGCGGAGAAAACTAATTTCAGCCGCTTGTATCCGTGATCTCGTTCTTTTGGTCCCTGCCCGAAGCTCGTGACCATCCGTGTGGGTAGGAACGTAGACCGACCGGTAAATTGTGGGTTTGGTCTTTTATTTATTTTAGGGCAAATTTCCTTTTTGCCTGCAGTAGATTTTACAGTTATTTTTACTCTAAAAAACATCGAACATAACTTATCAACATTCTGAAGCTTTGTGTTTTAACAGTTTAACTCTCAGTTTTACTCGTTTACCCCAAAGAAAAGCTAAATTGTTTTACTTGACCATCAAAACGTATGTGTCTAATTTTAATTATTGTACAGGTTGCACTGCTAAGCACTTAGATGGTATTATCAGCTGATGAATCCAAAACACCTGCAAAGGGTTCCTGAGCCTTCCGGTGGTCTCTCAGTCTAAGTAGATTTGTAGATTTTTGCACTAAATCCTGATGTTCCCAGTTTCAGCTGTTTTTACCCAGAGAAACCTTTCTGCTTTTCTTTTTGCTGAGCTTTCAGCTGTGGTCCACTTCCTGTTGTGTACATTCAGCCTTAGTATAACCAGATAAACAGAGAGAAGAATTATAACAGTCACTTCAGGAAAAGGCCACAAGCTGCTGCGTCTCAGCTGTGCTGACAAGTTGCCCAAGAGTAGAAAATTCTGCATTAACAAACATTGAGTTACACACCAAAGTACACAACAGCAGAAGAAAAGGAAGCTACACTGCAGTCACGGTAAATTAGAAGTGTGTCCTTTTCCAGAGTCACACTACTGACACTAGCTGTGTTCCACATGCACCTTCTATAACACGGTTTCAGACGGCTTCTTCTACAAGTTACACCAACGAGAAAAACATTCCAAAGTGTGTGTGAGAAAAACAAAGAACACAAACTCGACAGGTTCAGCGATGTTTGTGCATCCACAGAAAGTATTTACCAGCACAAAATATGCAGTTGATCAAAAATGGTTTTGGTTCCAAAGACAAAAACATCTTCGGTGGAACCAGCAAAGGCCTTCGCCTCACAAAAAGCACAAGTTTGGGTTTTTCTTTGTTGGACTCGCTCTCCTCCTCCCTTTTGGTTTCTTTTGTCATTGTTCTGGGGTGGTTCGTTTTAGGTTTGGTTTTATTGTCCTTTCACCCCTCTAAGGCTGTTTCCATGGCAACTCGATCAGGGATTATGTAACCTATTGGCTCCACTGACGAACCTGCATCCTCCGTATCTAGTGGCCACTGCTCCGCAGGGATGTAGCTGTGGAAAAGACACGATGTTGGTCACAGAAACCAAATCTAACACTGAGTTTATTAGAATTTTATTTCATCCATTCATCATCTAGTATCTGTCCATCATATATGTATCCTTCCTTCTATCCATCCCTCCATCCTTCCATCTATCATCTATCCATCCATCTAACTAGGGCTGCACGATATTAGGAAAACCTGCGATATTCGATAACAGTGCTTAATATTGCGATATCGATATTACTCACGATAAATGAACAAATACTAAAGTATGCAGTGTTGATGTCGTCTGGCGTGTGACGTCTGCTCTGGGCTCAACGCAAACAAAAACTAATGCATGAATTCCATTACAACATAACATTTTTATTGCAAAAATATGCAGCTGCACCTGCTACTGTATTAGCAGCTGCACCTGCTACTGTATTAGCAGCTGTACCTGCTACTGTACTAGCAGCTACACCTGCTACTGTATTAGCAGCTGCACCCGCTACTGTATTAGCAGCTGCACCTGCTACTGTATTAGCAGCTGCACCTGCTACTGTATTAGCAGCTGCACCCGCTACTGTATTAGCAGCTGCACCTGCTACTGTATTAGCAGCTGCACCTGCTACTGTATTAGCGGCTGCACCTGCTACTGTATTAGCGGCTGCACCCGCTACTGTATTAGCGGCTGCACCCGCTACTGTATTAGCAGCTGCACCCGCTACTGTATTAGCAGCTACACCTGCTACTGTTTTAGTGGCTGCACCTGCTACTGTATTAGCGGCTGCACCCGCTACTGTATTAGCGGCTGCACCCGCTACTGTATTAGCGGCTGCACCCGCTACTGTATTAGCAGCTACACCTGCTACTGTACTAGCAGCTACACCTGCTACTGTATTAGCTGCTGCACCTGCTACTGTACTAGCGGCTACACCTGCTACTGTTTTAGCGGCTGCACCTGCTACTGTATTAGCGGCTGCACCCGCTACTGTATTAGCGGCTGCACCCGCTACTGTATTAGCGGCTGCACCCGCTACTGTATTAGCAGCTACACCTGCTACTGTACTAGCAGCTACACCTGCTACTGTATTAGCTGCTGCACCTGCTACTGTATTAGCGGCTGCACCCGCTACTGTATTAGCGGCTGCACCCGCTACTGTATTAGCAGCTACACCTGCTACTGTACTAGCAGCTACACCTGCTACAGTTTTAGCAGCTGCACCTGCTACTGTATTAGCGGCTGCACCTGCTACTGTATTAGCGGCTGCACCTGCTACTGCATTAGCAGCTGCACCTGCTACTGTATTAGCAGCAAAACAACAAACTGCATGCATGCAGTTTCTCAGTGACTTTAAAACATCACCTCCACCACCTTAAAACTTTTTCTGATGCTCCAAATACAGAAAAACATCCCTTACCAGGGTTTTTAGAATAAAGAACATAAAAATCTAAAAGTAAGTTTAAATGTTAAATAATAGTTAACATCACTTCAATGCAACAGCAAATTCTCTCATTGCTACTGAGCATTTTCTCCACTTATGTGGTTATGATATAAGGCTGTTGCTGTAATTGGGAAGTGATCTGTGCTGGACCAAACTAGGAGAACATTAAGATTTTCTGAGGGAAAGAGAAAAACAATTGTCTACCTTTCAGAAGAGGAACCGGCAAAAAACTACATGGAAAATATGTGAAAACGTTTGTTTTTAACCCCAAATTGAACAAGTTTACCTAGATCTTAAAAAGCAGCTCAGATGATGAAACTGCAACTATGATTCTGATAACAAGCTAACAAATTGAACTAGCTCCTCTAAGATAACCGGCTAGCAGAGCTTCTGACTGACAGTTTATGTGCAGCAGCAAATAACTCTCCTGATTAACAAGGTTATAAAAGCTCATAAATGAAAAATCACTTTGATGTGTGGCGGAACTTTTCCAGGCCCTCTTTAGCAGGGTGGGACTGGGAGGAGAGTGCTGTAGCCTTTTAGCTGGAAGCTAACCGGAGCCTGGGGCTAACATCACCACCCGGTAGAACACTAGCAACATGAAGTGGGTTGGTTCACCGGCACGTGTTGGAGTCAGCCTGGTTATTATCAGCTGCTTAACGACACCGAGCGGACTCACGTTCACGTTTGAAAGCAGCGCTGATTCCAGAAACCTCAGCACAAAGTATGTTCGTTGCTCTGAGCCAGCATGACGAACAAGGGAACGGCACCGCTAATGTTCAGGTGTTGCTTTCCATTTAGTGTTGCCAGATCCAAAATCCCACAATATCGTACAGAGAGGCTTAAATTATCGTTTTTCAGTACAAATTATCGTACATTATAAATTTGATAATAACGTTCTATAAACGACTTCTCACTCCAATATAATATAACAAATAAGGTGTTTTATATTGCCCTGTTTAAATAAACATCTTTAAAACCAGTAATATAATGCTTATTAACGTGCAGTGTGTGTTGGCACCACTCCGACCTCCACGCATTGACACAGTATGCACATTTGCGCAGTCCTATTTATTTCATTTCTACATAGGTTAAACGCACGCAACAAAACATCACAGCAGTGGAAAAACTGACCCAATAAATGACACAGCAGCCTACTCACCTAGTTGCTGATCTCGATCTCCACATCTGATTCACTGTCTGTCGCAGCAGAATGCCTTTAATCACCTGTACTAAGTGGTCTGTGCTTCTCCTTGCAATGTTGTGCTGGGCTAAAAAGCCACATAGCTTGATTTCAGCGTTTTTCACATCATTTTCAAACTTCTCTTTTTCATTAGTTTGTAGGAGACATTTATGAACCTGTAAGCACTGAGGTGAAATCTGACTTCAGAACAGTTTAAAATTATGTAATTGACTTGGGAAAGCCACAGGAAAAGATGGTGTTACTAGATGCAATGTGAAATTATCGTACATTTGAGGATTTTTTAAACTATTGATCGTACATCGTACAGAGCCCCAAATTATGGTACAAATACGATAATTATCGTACATCTGGCAACACTGTTTCCATCCTAGGGGTCTACGTAGGGGGTGGGCGTATTACGTGAACGGACCCATCTGATTGGCCGCATATCAGAAGGGCTACATTTGATTGGTCAAATAATACTTCCGCGTAAAAAACAGAGCTGGTTTACAAAAAGTTGATGTATGACACGGAAGGAAATGTTTGAACCAAACATTTAACGCCATTTTTGACGTGCTTTGCGATGGGCCTATCGCACGTCTTGTTATCCCGATGACGATAATTTTTCGATATATTGTGCAGCCCTACATCTAACGATCATCCACTGATCCATCTATGCATATACTGTTTATGTATCCATCATCTGTGTATCCTTCCATGCATCCATCTATTTATCCATCCATCCATCCGTCATTTATGTGTACTTCCATCCATCCATCCACCCTTCCATCCTCCCATCCATTATTTATGCAGCCATCATCTATGTATCCATATAGCATCCATCCTTCCATCCTTTCATCCATCCATCCCTCCATCCATCCATCATTTCATCCATCCTTTCATCCATCATCCTTTCATCCATCAAACCATCCATCCTTTCATCCATCCATCCATCCTTTCATTCATCCATCATCCTTTCATCCAGCCATCCATCCTTTCATTCATCATCCTTTCATCCATCCATCATCCTTTCATCCATCAAAACATCCATCATTTCATCCTTTCATCCTTTCATCCATCCAACCATCCATCCATCCATCCATCATTTCATCCTTCCATCCATCCTTTCATCCATCCATCCATCCATCCTTCCATCCTTTCATCCATCCATCCACCCTTCCATCCTCCCATCAATTATTTATGCACCCATCATCTATGTATCCATCTAGCATCCATCCTTCCATCCATTCATCCATCCATCCATCATTTCATCCATCCATCCATCCACTTATCCTTTCATCCATCCATCATCCTTTCATCCATCAAACCATCCATAATTTCATCCTTTCATCCATCCATCCAACCATCCATCCTTCCATCCTTTCATCCATCCATCCATCCATCCATCCACCCTTCCATCCTCCCATCAATTATTTATGCACCCATCATCTATGTATCCATCTAGCATCCATCCTTCCATCCATTCATCCATCATTTCATCCATCCATCCATCCACTCATCCTTTCATCCATCCATCATCCTTTCATCCATCAAACCATCCATAATTTCATCCTTTCATCCATCCATCCATCCATCCATCATTTCATCCTTCCATCATTCTATCATTCCTTCCATCCATCAATCCATCCATCCATCCATCATCCATCCATCCATTTATTCATTCAATCATCCATCCATCAATGTATTAATCCATCCATCCATCCATCGATCCATCCATCCATCGATCCATCCATCCATCCATCCGTCCATTCAGAGACTGCAGATGTTATAAACTCTTTGCATGACCTAACGGTAGAACTTACCCATTGCTGTCTATTTGAGACCCAACCACAGTCTGTGATGGTGTTGATGGGAGTGTCCCAGCCTGCAGGGTCCCATTGACAATCTGGTCTTTGGCTGATTTCTGTGCAGGTTCAGCAAAGCTGTCGACACCTGGATCGGTAATGAGGAACTGGTCTGAGTCCGGCTGCAGGTGGAACGGAGGAGGGGGGTACTGAAACCCATCAGAGTAGGTGTCAGAGTTTGGTGAGGATGAGGTTTGAGTGCTACTGCTGCTGGATGTGTTAGCATCTAACATCTCCAGGAGGAGGTTGTAAACCAGGACCACGTTCTTCCTCTTCATGGTTGACAAGTGATCCATCCCTTTGTTACTGTAGAAGGAGGAGGAAGAGGAGGATAAGGAAAACTAGAAGATCTCCAAAATTCATTCATGACTTTGTAGTTTATAGCACTTATGAACATTTCTTACAAATAGTCTTGGAAAATAGTGCTTTTACTGCATTGTTATTGTATAATTCTGCATCTGCAGGCCAACCATCACATGTGATAAACAACAACAGATTTTCTGATTTCATGTGTTTTTGAATGCCACTGAGGTTTCTTCTAGCGTCAAATTGACTGTGGAACGCACTGCCCCTAACAATTAGGGGCTCTCCATCAGTAGAAGTTTTTAAAATGAGGCTGAAAACCTACTTTTATGATCTGGCTTTTAATTCTGTGGGTTAGCAATTGTTGATGTTTTATATTTTGTGATTCTTATTTGTGGTTTTAATTATGTCTGTGGTGCTATATGTTTTATTGTTTTATTCTTTTGTTGTACAGCACCTTGGTGGCATGCTCATGCCTGTAAGGTGCTTTATAAATAAAGGCTGAGTTGAGTTGAGTTAAATGTTTCAACAGCCAGGTTTCTTGGTTTTAATGGTCTCTTTTATTTCCTGAGCAGCTAATGTAGACAAATACAGGTGCTGGCCAGTAAATTAGAATATCATCAAAAGGTTGAAAATATTTCAGTAATTCCATTCAAAACGTGAAACTTGTACATTATATTCATGCAATGCACACAGACCAATGTATTTCCGATGTTTATTACGTTTAATTTTGATATTTATAGGTGACAACCAATGAAAACATCAAATCTGGTATCTCAGAAAATTAGAATATTCTAAAGGCCAATGAAAAAATGTTTGTTTCTCTAATGTTGGCCAACTGAAAAGAATGAACATGAAAAGAATGTGCATGTATAGCACTCAATACTTAGTCGGGGCTCCTTTTGCCTCAATAACTGCAGTAATGTGGCGTGGCATGGACTCGATCAGTCTGTGGCACTGCTAAGGTGTTATGAGAGCCCAGGTTGCTCTGATAGTCGTCTTCAGCTCCTCTGCATTGTTGGGTCTAGCGTATTGCATCCTCCGCTTCACAATACCCCATAGATTTTCTATGGGGTTAAGGTCAGGCGAGTTTGCTGGCCAATCAAGGACAGGGATACCATGGTCCTTGAACCAGGTGCTGGTGGTTTTGGCACTGTGTGCAGGTGCCAAGTCCTGTTGAAAGGTGAAGTCTGCATCCCCATAAAGTTGGTCAGCAGCAGGAAGCATGAAGTGCTCTAAAACTTCCTGGTAGACGGCTGCATTGACCCTGGACCTCAGGAAACAGAGTGGGCCAACACCGGCAGATGACATGGCACCCCACACCATCACTGACGGTGGAAACTTTACACTGGACCTCATGCAACGTGGATTCTGTGCTTCTCCGCTCTTCCTCCAGACTCTAGGTCCTTGATTTCCAAAGGAAATGCAGAACTTGCTTTCATCAGAAAACATAACTTTGGACCACTCAGCATCAGTCCAGTCCTTTTTGTCCTTGGCCCAGGCGAGACGCTTCTTGCGCTGTTTCTTGTTCAAGAGTGGCTTGACACACGGAATGCGACACCTGAATCCCATGTCTTTCATGAGTCTCCTCGTGGTGGTTCTTGAAGCGCTGACTCCAGCTGCAGTCCACTCTTTGTGGATCTCCCCCACATTTTTGAATGGGTTTGTCGTCACAATTCTCTGCAGGGTGCGGTTATCCCTAGAGCTTGTACACTTTTTTTCTACCACATTTTTTCCGTCCCTTCGCCTGTCTGTTAATGTGCTTGGACACAGAGCTCTGCGAACAGCCAGCTTCTTTAGCAATCACCTTTTGTGTCTTGCCCTCCTTGTGCAAGGTGTCAATGATTGTCTTTTGGACAGCTGTTAAGTCAGAAGTCTTCCCCATGATTGTGGTGCCTTCAAAACAAGACTGAGGGACCTTTTAAAGGCCTTTGCAGGTGTTTTGAGTAAATCAGCTGATTAGAGTGGCAGCAGGTGTCTTCTATATTCAGCCTTTTCAGAATATTCTAATTTTTTGAGATACCAAATTTGGAGTTTTCATTAGTTGTCACTTATGAATATCAAATTTAAATGTAATGAACATTGGAAATACATTGGTCTGTGTGCATTGCATGAATATAATGTACAAGTTTCACGTTTTGAATGGAATTACTGAAATATTTTCAACCTTTTGATGATATTCTAATTTACTGGCCAGCACCTGTATGTGTCACACTAATGAAAAACACAGAAAAGTTTTCTGTCTGGGTTTTTCCGGGTCTGTGAGTTTCTACCTGACATGGCGGATGTGGGAGAGCAGCATGGTGAGGTGGCCGAGACGAAGAGTCTGCTGCTGGGTCGACAGCCCCAGTTTGGAAATGGCCCAGACCAGCGCATCGATCACAGAGTCCAGGAGCCGCAGCAGCTTGTTCCTGCTCTCCAGCTCCTCGGCTGTCTGCGGGGGACTGGTGCACAGATCTGCAACAGACATCACAGACTCTACGGTACTGAATAAATCTCCTCAGCTCATTTCTTTTTTTTATTATTTCTTCAGAGAAGCTAGACTTTGTTTTCTTCAGAAAATCAGTACACTGTGCTACCTAAGCCCTATTTACTCCATTTAAACATCTTCTGTATGATCATTCTGTGTGTTTTGTCCACTTGCATCTTGGTTCTTTTAAAACACAAAGGGCGACATCGTCCTCTGCAGAACAAATCAGATGAAAAATGTTTTTGGATTTTCACGACTGGAATTTTAAGAAAACCAGATTTTTTGACTGGAGCGGGATAACGGATATTGGATTACCAGAGAAGTTCAACTGAACTCCGACCCCACTAGCTGGATATCACTACCGGAGGTGCAGACATGTTTTAGACCGTTTGATTCAGAAGACCCGTGACCTGATTTGGACACTGTGGAGGATTCTGTTCATCTTCAGAACTAAAATCTGTTCAGTTTGTTTACTTTTGTTAAATATTTCATTTCTGAGCTCCAACAGGAGCTCTAAACTAAGAGTTCACAGCTGAATTAGCTCCATCTTGTGTCCAAATATAATTCAGTAATCTATAGATAAATTAAATTATGTGCTGCCAGTTTTACCGCTGCGTGTGCATGTTGATATAACTCTGGTTTATTTTTAACTAATATTTTTTAACCGATAGCTTACCAGAATAAATCTTCCTTTTCTATCTACCAGTCGCAGGAGGATGTATTGTTGAAATATGGGAATCATCTTTTAGATTATATCTCTGTGTGTGTGTGTGTAGGTGTGTGTGTGTGTGTGTGTGTGTGGGGGGGGGGGGGGGGGGGGGGGTCGTAGCTTTCCCAAATGACTTGTTTTTTCCTTACCGGAGCTAACACGTTAGCAGTCATGCTAACGGGACTCTGGAGTCCAGAAGTAGCGGTGCGGTTCCAGATGGATTTCTAGATGTAGATTTTTATTTTAGATCAGACCTGTTATTAAAAAATGTTTGTAGGACATAGACATGTGGCCCAGACCGTTTGCTGCAGATGTAAACACAATTTTCCATAGTAATTAAGAGCACAGAAGTAAACAAGATACAGTTATTCACAACACCAGCAATGGCAGCTACCTTGCTTTACGTGTTGGAGTGACGTATGAAGAACACAGTTCTTCACTGTCTGGAGGAGAAGATTTGGATTTTCTGTAATGATTTATGACAAAAGTTCTTAACAACAAAAAGCCCAGTTCATATTGTAATGATCCATGAGGGGTCACTGTTATGTGTTCTTGGTAACTGTTATACTGCTGCTGTCTCTTTAAGAGATGGGCTCATGTCGTTAAAAGAGAGAATGGCTGTGTTCGAGATGAGCAGCGCCTCGCCTGGAAAACAGACGAGAGCAGACAGAAGCAGCAGGGGGAGTGGCTGAAAGCCGACGTTTAAGTCGGACAGATTTCCCTACATTTGTGGCTCGGGGGGTGACGATGGCTGAAGATATTGCGTTAGCGTTCACACTTGTTTAATTATTTATTTTAATTCTGGTACCTGTTAGCAGCTGAAACACATCCTCACGTGCTTGTGGATATCATATGTTGTATATGAAGGCATGACTGTAATAATAAATAAAGGTTATCAGCTGTAGGTTTAGTGTGCTCATAGGAAACGTGACAAAAGAAAACAATCACATTTCTCTTTATGGCCTATATTGTTGTCATCATCAACGTAACATGATTTTCAGAATACATGTGACCAACTAACATTTCATGTTCTACCACCGGATGTTTGGATCAAAATATGAACCAATCAGATCTTAGATCAGGTGAGAGCCAGGCGTTTCCCGTCATCCTCTAGGTTTTACAGCCGAGGGAGAGCAACTGCAGCGCCTTGCTCCAAAATCTGCGGCCGCCTTGATCTCACGAGGTTATCGTTGCCTACGTATGCATGACGTCAGAGCAAGTCGGCGTCAAGTCAGACACAAATCTAACCGGTATGCACTGCTCGCCGATCACCGGTGGTCTAATCTCCGCAGAACTGGCTCATCTCGAACACAGCCAATTATGCAGCTGTCTGCTGAGGCCAGATTCTCCCTGGGCGTGTCGAGGCTGGACTCCTGTCCGCACCATGACTGTAGCTCTGGCGCAAAAGAACGGAGCTCTGGGGATGCTCCGTCACATGATGTAAACAAAGATGGAAGCGCCCATGGGCAGCTAGCAGCAGAAAATATAAAAACACAGAGGTTCAATGGAAAGACACCTTTGGACGTGTTTATAGCTCAGTTTGAACTGTTAGCTCATGCTGCCGGTTGGTCTGAGGAGCATAAAGCACTCCAGTTAGCTTTATGCCTGTGTGAGGATGCAGCAGGAAGCCTGCTTCTGCTTACTGAGGGGGAGAGGAGAGACTATACTGCTCTGATCAGGGTGCTTCAAAGACAATTTGGACAATATAACCAGCCAGTGTTACTGAGGTCGGAGTTTCACAACAGATGCAGCCTGCCAGAGGAACCCCTCCGTATTCTAGCCCATGACATAGAGTGTCTCTGCAGGAGGGCGTATGACAATTTGCCTCTGTCAGTTCAGGCAGAGCTAGCTCGAGATAAGTTCCTCCTGGCTCTCAGTCCCAAAGAGCTCCGCATACAGACCCATCTTGCTCACCCAGCTATGCTCAGTGCAGCTCTGGAGCTGGCGTTGGAGAGGGAGATGCTGACAGGGTCCTCTAGGGGAGCTGAGGACGCACTGATGGTGAGAACGACAATAGCACCTGTCGAGCTACAGGGGAGGTCAGAGGCGCATCACAGCGTGGTCCAGGCAGCTGCCATCAAGCCCCCCCCCCCCCCCCCGAAGGATGGTCCACGCCGCCAACCTCGTTGCTGCTGGGGGTGTGGACAACCTGGATACCTCGTCAGGGAATGCCCCAGGTTTACAGCGATGCAGGGAAACGCCCAGGGCCCCGTGTAGGTGGGCATACATGGGCCGGTGAAACCGACAGCCCCACACCACCCCAATTGTCTTTTGTCTTTTGGTTCATGGGGACTCCTTTGATTCAGCCCTGGAGGCCCTGAGACAAGTGGGGAGAGTAGCAGCTGCAGGCCTGAAGCTGCGTCCTGATAAGTGTCACTTCATGAGGAGAGAGGTGGAGTTTCTGGGCCACGGGCTGGGCCAGGAGGGCATCAGCACTTTGGAGGAAAAAGTTCACACCATTAAGGAATGGCCCACCCCTACGGACCAAAAACAAATTAAAAGCTTCCTGGGGCTGGCGTCTTATTACAGGAGGTTTGTGAAAGGATTTACATCCATAGCTGCACCGCTTTTCCGCCTGCTGCAGAAGGACTGTGATTTTGTCTGGACCCAGGACTGTCAGCAGGCGTTCAACTCTCTTCGCAGTGCACTGACAGAGTCTCCAGGTCTTACCCTACCTGACCCCACCCTGCCTTTTGTCATGGACACAGATGCCAGCAATGTGGGCCTGGGAGTTGTGTTATCACAGGTTGAACCTGGTGGTATACTTCAGCCAGATACTGAATAAGAGTGAGCAACGCTACTGTGTCACACGTCGAGAACTCCTGGCGGTGATGATGGCAGCGAGACACTTTAAATACCACCTCTGTGGCACACCATTCATCATCAGATCTGACCATGCTGCCCTCCAGTGGCTGATGTCTTTTAGAGAGCCAGAGGGGCAAGTAGCTCGCTGGATAGAAGAGCTCCAGAGCTTTAATTTCACAGTCGAACACAGAGCAGAGGCACACCATGCAAATGCAGATAATAATAATAATAATAATAATAATACATTTTGTTTCAACAGCGCCTTTCTAAACACTCAAGGACACTTTACAGACAGAGATAAAATACACAACAATAAAAGATAGAACAGCATAAAACAAACAGACAGATTGGAGCAAAGAGAGTAATTATTGGAATGCTAGACGGAACAGGTGGGTTTTGAGTCTGATTTTAAAGAGTGTGAGGGAGTCAATGTTACGGAGGTCAGGAGGAAGTGAGTTCCAGAGCTGGGGAGCAGAGCGACTGAACCATAGTGACCAGACGGAAAGGTGGGACAGAGAGGTGGATGGAGGAGGAGGACCTGAGGGAACGGGTGGAGGTTTAAGGATGAAGGAGGTCTGAGAGGTACGGTGGAGCTAGGTTATAGATGGCTTTGAATGTATATAGCAGAATTTTGAATTGGATTCTGGAAGTGACTGGGAGCCAGTGGAGCTGCTGAAGAACCGGAGTGATATGGTGGAAGGAGGGACTTCTGGTAATGATGCGGGCTGCCGAGTTCTGGAGAAGTTGGAGTTTATGGAGGGATTTGTGAGGAAGACCGAAGAGAAGAGAGTTGCAGTAGTCAATACGGGAAGTGATGAGGCTGTGGACAAGGATGGCAACCGAGTGAGTAGTGAGGGAGGGGCATAGGTGGTTAATGTTACGTAGATGGAAGTAGGCAGACCGGGTAATATTGTTTATGTGGGACTGGAAGGATAGTGAGGAATTGAGGATGACACCCAGACTCTTGACCAGAGGGGAGGGGGAAACTAAAGAGTTGTCGACAGGAAGTGTAAAGCTGTGGATTTTGGATAGGAAGGATTTAGTGCTGACAAGTAACATTTCTGTTTTATCACTGATAAGTTTGAGCAAGATTGATGTGAACCAGTCTTTGATTTCAGATAAACAATTGGTGAGGGAGGAAGGAGGGAGTGAAGAGGAGGGTTTGGAGGATACATAGAGCTGGGTTTCGTCCGCGTAACAATGAAAATGGATGTCAAATTTATGGAAAATATTTCCCAGGGGAAGAAGGTAAGTGATGAAAAGGAGTGGGCCGAGAACAGAGCCCTGGGGGACGCTGGTAGTGACAGGGAAGGGACGGGAAGTGAAGGATTTGAGTTGAATAAACTGAGTACGGCCAGAGAGATATGAACGGAACCAATCAAGCGGGGTATGAGAAATGCCAAGGGAAGACAATCTATGGAGGAGGATGGTGTGGAAGGCCGAAGATGGCCTTTCTTGCCACCCTTGTGTAGC